TGCCTGTAGTCCCAGCTACTCGGGAGGCTGAGGCAGGAGGATCACTTGAGCTCAGGAGATTGAGGTTACTGTGAGCGAGGCTGACGCCACGGCACTCACTCTAGCCTGGGCAACAAAGTGAGACTCTGTCTCAAAAAAAAAAAAAAGATGAGAAAAGAAAAATAGCTCAGAGCAGTCTGAGCTATATGAAGCATGCAAAATTTACCAGGCTGAGAGACAGGAGTAGAGGACTTAAGCCACTGTCCCCCCCCCCAGCCCCCCCTCCGCCGCACCAGGCCTGGGTGCAATTGTTTAAAGGCATTTTAGTCATGACTGGCTGCCTCACCCATTATCTTGGCGTTCCTGGAATTTGTGACACCAAGAACAATGAGTAGCCAATCAGTAGCTTATGTTATTTTAATGTTAATTCTTGGTAAACAGCTTAGGAATTGCCTCTTCTTTTTTCTTTTAACGCTGGTAACCGCTGCTAATGGGCAGGGGGTATACTCAGGGCAGCCTAAACTGTGCTCCTAGGTTGCAGTCCCAAAACTTGGCCAAAACAAACTCTCTACTTAAATCAATTTTGCCTCTGTTTTTTCCGTTAGGTCAACAAAGATCAGTTTCAGGGTCTTCTCCTGGGGACCCCAAGCTAAGGGTAAATTGGAGCTGGAAGCCGGGAAGGCCTACCTGCCCACCCCAGCCCCAGAGAGACCAGAGATGTCCTTTGGCTTCTGGGAAGATGACGAGTGACCTGACCCCAGAGCTGGCCACCCCATGCACCCCTGCCCGCACCTGGTCTGTAGGCCCTGGCAGGAGGGCAGGGGCCTCCTCTGTCTGGTCTGCCACCCTGTCCCCACTATGAGTCCCATGTTTTCACATAGTAGGCCCTCAATAAAAACGCGAGGAATGAATGGAAGGATAAGAAACTTTGGGGTGCAGGGGAGAGGGAAGCAGGCAGGAAGACCTACTCATCAGTGGCTTCCTCCTCCTTCACCCCAAGGATCTAAGGCACCAAATGTGAGCACCCAGCCTGTGCCTTGCGTCAGGCCTGGCAGCTTCCTTGCCTGGCCCCAAGCGCCCTGACCCCCAGCTCTCTGCCTGGGCAGTTACCCATTTCCTCTTCCCCACGGAGCCTGGTCCTGAGACGGCAAAGAATTCACTGGAGATGAACAGGGGACTGGACAAATGATGGTGGCCAACACACACCCTGCACCTTGCACCAGACGCTGTGCTAAGCCTTTTACACATATTATTTTGTTTAACTCTCACGACTATCTTGGGGGAGGGGGTGCTATTATCGTGCCCCTGCTCAGAGAAGGGAATGAAGACTTAAGTAATGGCCTAATGATCGTTTGTATGGCACTTAGTTATTTGAGCAACACTTCCGCTTAATTCCACAGCAATTTGGGGAATGAGGGAGTCTTCCCCTGCTTCAAAGGTCAGCTAACAGGAAAAGCGAACGCTGTACGCAAGGTCACCCAGCCCCAGGCCTCAGACATCAAGTCCTGGCCTCTTTCCATTTCCCTCCACTGTCACCCCACTTCTCCCCGCCCCAAGCCACAAAAGGGACTCACTCTCTTAAGTCACTCCACGTCCAGATTCCAGCTCCGTGAGTAACTCTCCCTTCTGATAGCTTTTGCATCAAGAACAAACCCAAACAAATCCCTCTGCTAGGAAGTGAGTTCCTTGGGTCAAGGATTTCTTCTCTGTTTCCTTCATGCCCTGGCTCCAGTTCCTAGAATGGCGAGTGTCTTGGGGCTCAATGAAACCATTGAGCCCCTTGGGTTGAGCCAATGAAACCTCCACACCAGAGGATGCTCTACAGCTCCTAACAGGCCTCGAAAAGATTGGAAGATAGGGAAATGAAGGAATGGAGGGGGTCAGTTCTGGTCCTGACCTCTTTAGGAAGGAAAAAGACACTTCCTTGAGTTCCTTTGGTAGCCAGGCTTCATGCCTCATACCCTGTGGGGTCAGAAAATGCTTCCTCATATCTAGCCCTTGCCTTCTGCTCAGTGGTGAATGAACAAAAAATATTTCTAATTTGGAAATCTAGGCTTGCTCTTATTCTCACATTCTCCGCATACCTTAGGGGCAGGAAGTGAGCTTGGCACCCCAGCTCCCCATGGCTGCTTCCGGAAGTTGCGTCCCACCACCACTGTGGCCACCTCCTTATGCGCATCCTTTAAGAATGAGGGCGTCCAGCTCCAGCGCCCTCTCCTCCTCTTCGCTGTCACCCTCTGCCTCCTGGTCACCCCTCCCTCCCCAGAGAGCCGCCCGGGCTCCCGCCTGGCTCTGCACCCACTGCTCTTGTTGCTCCAGGCTAGGCAGCCTCCACACCGTCACCACGGCCTCCTTGCTCCTCATCCTCTTCCTCTCACTGACCCCGTCCTCCCCTCTGGCACCCACTCCCAAGGCCACACCCGGACCTTGCCATTTACCTAAAACTGCCCTGCCTCCCAGGCAGGCACTGGCTCCGTCCCCCTCTCTGTCCTGTCCTCCCGTCCCCCATGAACCACGTGTGAAGCTGCTGTGGTGTCATTGAGGCCTCAGCCAGCCAAGCCTCCTGCCGCCTCTCTTCTTGCTTTTCATCCCCCAGAGGGCTGAGGGATCCCCAGCAGACTCACTCCTTTGCAAACGCGCCCAATTCCATTCCCTCTCCCCTCCATCCCACCCTCCTAACAAAACCTCAGCCCCACTACCTACTACCTGCTCCAGGCTACACCAGCGGAGCCCAGCGTTGCTGCAGGAAACAAGCAGCCAGGCCAACGAGTTTGCCACCCTCCATGGGCTCCCAGTAGCCTCCCACAGCCCCAAGGTGTCTTTGAAGAAAGCCTCCCCACTCCAGCTCGCTACACACCGTTCTCCCCAGCCTGGGTTTCCCCCACAGACTTCCCCTCTCTGGGAACTGACAGCCATCAGCTAAGAACTTCCTCCACTTTCTATGGCCAGATCCACACCGGCCCCTGCCTCCTTGTTCTCTGCTATTCCGGAGGAAGGGCCTCCCCCACGGGTGCCTGGGCACCCCCTCACGCCCACCCACCACCCCCACTGTGCGATGCGTCTGTGCTCTTCCCCACCAGGCCGTTCCCTTCAGCGTGGAGACATGCATTTGGTGCCACTCGGGTTTTAAGAAGCCAAAACACCCACCTCGCTTTCCCCCCCTGCCCTCGCTCAGTACTGCCCCCATTTCTCTGCCGTCCTTCAGAGCCCACCTTCTCCGGAGAGCTGTCTGCCTGCCCCGTCTTCACCCCTCCCTCCACTCCCTCTTCTGCCCCTACCTCTCCGCAGGAGCTGCTCTTGTCCAAGTCACCGACAGCCTCCACACGGCCGGCCTGGTGCGCACTAAGGCCCCTCCCAGCGGTCCGGGGCCCCCTGCCTTTCCTCGGGCTCTGCCTGGCTTCCACCGCCTGCACCCAACCTGAGCACCAGGCGCTGCACTGAGCCCATCCTCTCCGTTCACGCTCTGCCCAGGCTCTAGGCCATGCCAAGACCTCGGTTATCCCGCCTCCAGCACTCGGACTCCTAAAGATGCTCTCTGGCACAGCCCTCCTTTCTAAGCACAAGACTGTCCACTTGGCCTCACCACTTGGGTGCCTCGCGGGACCTTAGCAATACAACCGTGCCGCCCACCCTTCCCCAGCAGCAGGCCCACCACCACCCTTGCGCTCCTCACTGCACCCAGTCTGTCCCCAGCCCCAGCCAGAGTGATTTCAGAATTCATACCAAGTTCATGTATTTTGTAATTTCCAAAACATTAATTAAAAAGAAAAACCATTGAAAATAGAGTCTCAAAGACATCTATACACCTATGTTCATAGCAGCATTATTCACAATAGCCACAGATGGAAGCTTCCCAGTGTCCATCCTCAGATGAGTGGATAAATAGAATGTGGTCTGTATGTACAATGCAATATCATTCCGTCTTTAAAAGAAAGGACATTCCACCTGGTCATGGTGGCTCACACCTGTAATCCCAGCTACTTGGGAGGCCAAGGTGGGAGGATCACTTGAGCCCAGGAGTTTGAGACAAACCTGGGGCAACATAGTAAGACTCATCTCAAAAAATATATATTAATATCTATAAAGAAAGTAAATTCTGGCCGGGCGTGGTGGCTCACGCCTGTAATCCTAGCTCTCTGGGATGCCGAGGCGGGCGGATTGCTCGAGGTCAGGAGTTCAAAACCAGCCTGAGCAAGAGCGAGACCCCGTCTCTACTATAAATAGAAAGAAATTAATTGGCCAACTAATATATACAAAAAATTAGCCGGGCATGGTGGCGCATGCCTGTAGTCCCAGCTACTCCGGAGGCTGAGGCAGAAGGATCGCTCGAGCCCAGGAGTTTGAGGTTGCTGTGAGCTAGCCTGACGCCACGGCACTCACTCTAGCCTGGACAACAAAGCGAGACTCTGTCTCAAAAAAAAAAAAAAAAAAGAAAGTAAATTCTGACACATGCTACAACATGGATGAAGCTTAAGGACTTTAAGCTAAGTGAAATAAACCAGTCACAAAAGACAAACGTTATATGATTCTACTTAGAACAGTCAAAATCATAGAGGAGCAGAACGGTTGCCAGGGGCTGGGGGGAAGGAGGAGAGGCCTTAGTGTTAATGGGTGCAGAGCTTCACTCTGGCAGGATGAGAAGAGGCCTGGAGACGGGCTGCCCAGTAACGTCAGTGTACGTGACATGACCAACGGATGACTTAAAAATGGCTAAGATGGCAAATTTTATGTGATGTGTTTTTTGCCACAATAAAAAGAAATGAAAACCATAAATTAGCTCGAGTTTCTTTCTCCTCTGCTTTAAACTCCACATTGGCTTCCCATTCCACTTAGAATAAAATCTTCATTCCTGACTCGGCCTAGAAAGCCCGGCTGACCTGGGCCCCCCACCCCCACCCCCTACCCCCCACCCTCCCCCGCCCAGCCAGGCCGGGGCCTGCCCCCACTCTTCCCGGCAGCCTCCTCCCTGCCCTGTCCTCTCAGCCGAGTGCTGTGTCCCCAGCAGGCCTCCGCGGGCCAACCTGCCTGTGTGTCTCCCGCTGGTCTCTGTCGCTGTCCCCGGTTGCTTCCTCAATGTAGCCACACACCGGCTTGTGTGCTCTGTCTCCCACCACCACGACCGCCATCGCCACCACCCCTGGGCGCTCAGCTCCGGGACAGCGGGAGGCACGGCTGTGTGGTCACCGCTCTGTCCCTAGCGCCCAGCCCGGCGCTGGACGTGTCCCGGTACCGCCCACGCTCTTGCTGATGAAGGGATGCGTCTCTCGTGCCTTCCTCCTCAGTGCAGTAAGCACAGAGAGAGCAGGACACTCCTGGAACTGACCCAGCCTCACCGCTTCCTGGCCGTGTGACCTGGGGCAAAGTCCTTTAACCTCTTAGAGTTTTGTGGGGTTATTTTTTGGGGGGGTTGTTTGTTTTGAGGCAGGGTCTTGCTGTTGCCCAGGCTAGAGTGCAATTGTGTCATCATAACTCACTGCAACTTCAAACTTTTGGGCTCCAGCGATCCTCCCGCCTCAGCCTCCTGGGCAGCTGGGACTACAGGCGTGGTCCACCACACCCGGCTAACTATTTTTATTTTTCAGAGACAGGGTCTCACTATGTTGTCCAGACTGGTTGCAAACTCTTGGCTTCAAGCGATCCTCCCACCCAGGCCTCCCAAAATGCTAAAATTCTAGGCATGAGCCACCGTGTCTGACCCCTTTAACCTCTTTGAACCTCAGGCTCTTTATCTGTAAAATGGGGATATCTTATATCCAGCAGGGTAGTTTGAAGATTATATTAAACAGCATATATGAAGTGCTTACCACTTGGTAGACAGTCGACAAATCGGTACCTACCATCATTGAATTCTACACCTTCAAAGGGATACTATGTCTTAGGCAATAATAGCTCTTGACTTTTGGCAGGGGACAGAAGGGTTACATACACCTTTTAGAGCTTAATTAAAACTATAAAACTTTCCTTGAGAGAGAAAAATGCACCTGCTCACACATATTTTATATGTTAAGTTCCTAATGGTCACTGACTATCAAAAGCGCAACCACAGTCACCAGGTGAAGAACCTTGAATACAAGGAGAGAAACAAAGTCACTACAGTTGAAGAACTGAGGGGCCGGCAGCAGTGGAGTACGCCCAGAGAGCAAGAAAGCTCCGCCCAGGCGCCCAAGGCTGCATCCCCAGTGCCGCCGCGCCCTCTGGTGGCACGCGATAATTTTGCAAGGCCTCCCAGGCCAGAGGAGGAAATGTAGGACTCCGTGCGTCCCTCTGAGTCTCCCCTCAAGCCTCCAGATGGCCTCCGTCCACCTATCTGTCCTTCAACCATCTTCTCCAAAGCCCATCTCCTAGAAATTTAAGACCTCTTGCCTTAGTGAAATGTTTCTCAGAGTGAGGCCCAAGGACAGTTTAATCAACAGGTCCTCAGGCAGGCTGGCAGTTTCAGATTCCCCTACTTTTCACAAATTTCAAATATGACATTGATTATGGCTATCACAGAAATATCGTTATGTCATTTATAATTATTATATTCTTAATAATTATTACAATCTTAAAGGCTGCACATGGATTTTCAGAACTGCTTTAATGACCTTGGCTAATCATTTTCTAGTCATATGCATGTTTTTGTTTATATTTAAAAATATGATGGCTGGGCATGGTGGCTCATGCCTCTACTCCTAGTACTTTAAGAGGTCGAGGCAAGAGAGGCGCTTGAGGCCAGGAGTTTGAGACCAGCCTGGGCAACATAGTGAGATCCTGTTTCTATAAACAAAATTCTTTTTAATTACCCAAGTTTGGTGGTGCATGCCTGTAGTCCCAACTACTAAGGAGACTGAGGCAGGAGGATCACTTGAGCCCAGGAGTTCAAAGATGCCACTGTACGCTAGCCCAAGCAACAGGATGAGAACCTATCTCTAAAAAAAAAAAAAAAAAAACTAAAAATAAGATACAATGATGTGCTTTATGCATTCATGTGGTTGTGCTATGTTATATCTCCAAATTATAAAAGTCATTAAATGGTTCAAAAGTGCTTCATTGACTCGTAAAAACAGCCATGAAGACAGTAACATAGATCTGACAACGCAGAACAATGTTAACTGTATAAACAGGGTTTCCAGAGGGAATATAAAATATCTGTGTGTGCTGGGAAGAAGGAAAACTTAAGAGTGATTATTTTGCGCAAGACCCAAAGAGAAACTGTAGGCAGGAACTGCCTCAAAGATTATCTGGAAACTTTTTTATTAACTATTCACTCTTTGTTCCCAATGTATTATCTGCTGTGAAATGTCAGCCCGTGGCTCAAAGTCATCAAATCTTTTGTATCAGTCACAATCAGAGCCTATTGATTTTTTTTTTCCAGAATAAGCACAAGATAATATTTCCCAGAATAAAATTTTAATTTTGTGCTCAAGATGAAGAAAGACATAAAGAGTACAGCACGTTACTCAAAGTTGCCCCTCCCCCTCTCTGACAAAATACTCAGAGAGAAACAGTTCCATCAAATGCCACTGTTGGATGTCACCTAACAATGGCAAACAACTGGCAAAGTAATCACTGTCACCTGTATGTGCACATAGTCCTCTTTAGGGTTGGCTAAAATCCCCACCTACGACGGCAAAATAGCTTTCACATGACTCAAATGGCCATCACTAAGGAAACATTCTTTTCAGTGTGTTCATGTAGAAACAGGCAGCACGTACAAGGAACTGCTTCCCCACCCCAACACACCGCGAAGTGCATTGACCCCAGAGGACAAAGGTACTCACAAGAATTCTGTTTTGTTTTGTTTAGTTTTAGCATTTTTATTGAGATGTAATTCACATAATATAAAACTCACCATTTTAAAATGTATTGCGTGGTTTTTAGAAGATTTGCTATGTTGTACAGTCATCACCATTATCTAATGCCAGAACATTTCTGTCACCCCAAGAAGAAACCCCATACGTATTAACAGTTAGTCCCAATTCCCTCCTTCCCCTCATGCCCTGGCAACTGCGGATGTATTTCCTGTCTTTATGGATTTACCTATTCCGGACATTTTATATAAATCACATCGTACATGTAGCCTTTCGTGGCTGGCCTCTTCACTCAGCAGAATGTTCCCAAGGCCCGTCTGGGCTGTAGCAGGTCACAGTACTTCTTCCCCTGTATGACCGAGTGACATTCATTGCATGGCCATCCCATATTTTGTTTGCCCATTCATCAACCTGATGGACATTTGGGTTCTTTCTACATTTTGGTATTATGAATAATGCTATGAACATTTATGTGCAAGTTTTTATGTGAACAAAAACTTTCAGTTCTCTCAGATACACACCATCAAGTAGAATTGCTGGGTCATATGGTGATTCTATATTTAACCTTTGAGGAACTGCCAAACTGTTTTCTCCTGCGGCTGAACCACTTTACATTCCCGCCACCAGTGTCTGACGGAGGGTTCCTATTTTTCTGCATTCAAACCAACACTTGTTTTCCTTTCCATTATTACTATGTAGCTGTCCTAGTAGATGGGAAGTGATATCCCACTGTGGTTTTGATTTGCACATTTCCCTATTAACTAATGATGTCCATCATCTTTTCCTGTGTTTATTAGCCTTTTCTGTCTTTCTTTCTTTCTCTTAGCTCTTACATAGACTATAGATCATAGTCTTTGATCTATTTTGAGTTAAGTTTTGTATATAGTATGAGATCAGGAGGGTCCAAGTTCATTCTTTTGCATAGGGATATCTAGTCCCAGCATCATTTGTGGAAAAGACTCTTGTTTCCCTCACTGAATGGTTTGGACAACGTTGTGGAAAGTCAGCTGACCATAGATAACGGGTTGATTTCTGGACTGTCGAGTTTATTCCATTGGTGTATCTGTCTATGTACCGCACTGCCTTGATTATTATAGTAGCTTTGTGGTAACTTTTGAAAAGAGGGAAGTGTTCTTTTTCAAGATTGTTTTGGTTATTCTGGGTCCCTTGCAATTCTATTTGAATTTTAGGATTAGCTTGTTCATTTGGGGGAGCAGGGATGAGGAGGAAGCACTTTTGACTGGGATTGCATTGATTCTATAGATCAATTTGGTATCATTATCTTAACATTTTTAAGTTTTTCAGACAATAAACATAGAATATCCTTTGATTTTGCTTCTTTAATTTCTTTTTAACAATATTTTTCATTATACGAGTCTTGTGTTTTTTGGTTAAATTTATTCCCAAGTATTTTATTCTTTTTCATACTATTCTTAATGGAACCATTCTCTTAGTTTCATTTTCAGATTGTTTATAACTAGTGTATAGAAATACAACTGATTTTTATATATTTATCTTATATCCTGCAACTTTGCTGAACTTACTATCTCTAATCATTTTTTGTAGATTCTTTAGGGTTTTCCATATATAAGATCATGTCATTTGCAAACAGAGATAATTTTACCCTTTTCTTTCCATCACATGAGTTTTTGAAATGCATGGTGACACTTCATGACATTGATAATGCTAATAAAGAGCATCTGTCTAATTGCAAATGGCGTAAGTGGTGTATCTTTTTTTTTTTTTTTTTTTTTTTTTCTCACTTTGTTGCCCAGGCTAGAGTGAGTTCCGTGGCATCAGCCTAGCTCACAGCAACCTCAAACTCCTGGGCTCGAGCGATCCTTCTGCCTCAGCCTCCTGAGTAGCTGGGACTAGAGGCATGTGCCACCATGCCCAGCTAATTTTTTTATATATATATATATCAGTTGGCCAATTAATTTCTTTCTATTTATAGTAGAGACGGGGTCTCGCTCTTGCTCAGGCTAGTTTTGAACTCCTGACCTTGAGCAATCTGCCCGCCTCGGCCTCCCAGAGAGCTAGGATTACAGGTGAGAGCCACCGCGCCCGGCCTGTAAGTGGTGTATCTTAGTGATACATCGGAACCTATCACTTAAGACCAAATTTTCACAATCTTAATGGTGGGGATAAAATATCAGAATTTCTTTCTTTCTTCTTTATCCAGAATACACCACACTGCAGGGATTTCTTAAGGTTAGAACTCTGGCACAGTTGCATCATCAAAGTTTTACAATTTCTCAACATTTGGTTTTTTTGTGTAAGAATCAAAAACATATTATTGGGTATATTTTAAAATCATTTTGGTAAAAAGGTAAACTTCATGTTGTATATGTTTTACCACAATAAAAAAAAAAAAACCACTTTGAAAACCTACATCAGACAGAAAGAAGTGCTTTCTAATGAAGCGAAAGGGACCCATCTGCCACCACGGCCCAGGCTAATACTGCCGTAGCCTGGAAGCTGGGCTGGGTTCCGAGCCAGAAAAGGGAAAGGGCAGCCACTCTTCCAACTTCTGAGTGTGATGTGCTTGCAGACTTAGGTCCTGAAGGTTTGGCAAACCATCTTCCCTGAG